AAAAACAGGATAACATTAGAGCATACTTTTCAATGGGCAGGCATAACGCCATCGATTGTTTCTACTTGGGTCAGACGTATTCTAAAATTCCTAAACAATTGATTAGAGATAATGCCAACTGAATTGTCCTATTCGAACAGGACGACTTGAATTTGCGACATATTTATGAAGATCATGTCGCACCCATAATAACCATGCAGCTGTTTCGAGAGATGTGTTCGGAAAGCTGGCGAACCCCGTATGGGTTTATGGTGATAAATAAGGATGCGGATGTGCAAAACGGTCGTTTCAGGAAAGGCTTCGATCACTATATAATACCATGAAAACATGTTTATTGTTCAGTTCAACTGTAACAGCTTTAACAGCTTTACCAGCTTTTAACAGCTTTAATACCTCTAACAGCTTAACAGCTGAACGGCTTTAACTAACAGCTGAACAGCTTTAACCGCTGAACAGCTTAACAGCTTTATTGGGGGGAACAGACCCTGTTCCAGTTGATCTGTTCATTTGATATCGGTTTACCTGTTCCGTTGATCATGGATAATAAGGAGATGGCCTTGAAACGACGAATAGTTCAGGCGCGTAAAGCGATACAGCAAAAGTACAATCGTCTCAAAGCGGATCGTTTTATTAAAGAAGTGGAATTTGTACGAACGTATAAACCGCTAATTCAACCGCTAGCTCAGATCGTAAAGAAAATCGAACCGCCGTCATCATTGGTTATAGAAACGAAAAAGGAGGAGCCATCAGAGGACGAAGTATTTACATCACCCCCTAAAAAACGTCAATCTCCTGTAAAAAGAAAGTCACCACAACAACGTAAGACTCCTGCGATACCTTATTACACGCGAGTGAGACGTAGGCCCTCTTCCCTTACCGAGATCAGTCCGCTGGCTAGACTTCCATACTTTCAAAAATATCCGCCAACTGATATTAGTCCTATGGTTAGACCTTTTCATCCCACGGCTACTCCATCATTGAGACAGGCGCCATCATTTCTACAGAGTACAGTGATAGGAGAGCATCAACCGGAAGAAGAAGAAGAAGAGTCCTCCATCGCATCAGAATCATCTGCTTCATTACTTGATATGCAAGGTTCGCAAGCCTTTTTGGAACAATACAAACACCTACCACGTATATACGTTGAGCGCATGATAAGAGATACGAGTAATGCAATTGACACCACCTTTGGAATTCATTATAATGTCGAAACGGATAAGTGGAGAATGGGCAAGACTGAGGTGACGATAGATGACGAAGATTTGGTCATTAACGGGAACCGGTACAAAGGTACTGCGGGGCTATACGAACTTATCATCATGAATGAACCGGATGAATCGCTAGTATCCAAGCAGGATAGAAGTAACTATAAGCAGATAATAATAGCAACTCATGTCGCACGGCGCAATTACGACCCCACAGAACAGATTCGTGGCAATAAGAGCAAAAAGTATACGCTGATAATAAAGCCTCTCCTGAAGGAGGAGGAAGCGGCGAATAGGGGGCGTGCGAAATCGGGAAGCGGTATTACTCTATTCAAGGAACTCGACCGACCGATCGAATACAAATACTGGAATAGCGTGCATGAATTGATTAGGGACCTAGAGGTTTTATGGGGTGAAAAAATGGCAGGCAACACAGGAGTAAAAAATGATATAATATCAATCGTGGAAGAGCTGTACGAGGAGGGTTACATACAAAAGCCTACGCAGCGATTTTTATCTCAACTAGTATAAATACCCCATTTCCGTCTTCCCCGCTTACATTCATCATGGATAAATTCGGACGTTCTCATACCCATGCTCAATTTGGAAAACTGTTAAAGACAAAATTTTCCATTACCAACGATACGATAAATGTGGAAAATAAGAGACTAAGTAATGTTGTCGACCCTATTGAACGTCATGATGCCCTAACCTTACAACACTACCTATCAACAAGACTGAATCTTAACGGAAACCGGTTAATGAATGTGGCCGATCCAGTAGACGATGGCGATGCCATAAATAGAGGATACTTCATGTATTACATGCAGATTGCGAAAGTACCTGTAGACGGTCTTCGCAATTACGTGGAGGCACTAGAGGAAGAGTTGAAGGCGGTCAAAGCAACCCTACATAAACTAATAGAGGATGCAGCAAGTGGTAAATGAGCTACATAAAGCAGCACGAAAAAACTTCGCACGTAGACGTACCATCATTAAGGGATTTGATGATCTTTGGCAAGCCGATTTGGCCGAATTTATACCTTACGCTAAACAGAATAAAGGCTACAAATACATACTGATAGTTATCGATTGTTTCTCAAAATATCTGTGGACGAGAGGATTGAAGACTAAAACGGGTGAGGAGGTGACAAAAGCCATACAGGATATTTTCAAAACTACCAGACGGAGACCGAAAAATCTACAGACCGATGCCGGGAAGGAATTCTATAACAAATCATTTGACAAATTGATGGCGCGAGAACACATTAATCACTATTCCACGTACAGTACAAAAAAAGCTGCCATAGCCGAAAGAATAATTAGGACGATCAAAAATTATTTATACCGACAGTTTAGTCTACGTGGAAAATATGTATGGATTGATGCAATTGAATCAATCACGAGCGAGTATAATAATCGTAAAAATCGAACAACGGGGATGAAGCCGATCGAAGTAAAGGCCGATACACAGCTGAAGGCCTACAGACACATCAAGCTCTTTAACAAGAAACATCGTTTTAATGTTGGCGATGTAGTTCGAATTAGTAAGCACAAGAGTGTGTTCGCCAAGGGATATACTCCGAACTGGTCCAGTGAACTGTTTAAAATTGCAAAAGTCCAAATAACCAATCCCGTGACGTACTTGTTGGAAGACATGAAAGGAAAACCGATACTGGGAGGATTTTATGAGCAGGAACTGCAAAAAGCTAAGTATTCCGATATCTATTTGGTGGAGAAGGTGCTGCGACGTAAGAAAGATAAAGTGTACGTCAAGTGGTGGGGACTGGACGAAAAATCTTGGATAGAAAATGATAATATCGTATTGTAATTTTCGCTGTAAATTAATAAATAAAGAAAACAAAAGCTTTTTTGTACTTTTTTTATTTTGCTTTCCTATTACCATACAACATATTTTTCTTTTTTTTTAGTAAAGCTATCGTTATTGATAATTTTTTCAAGCATATCGTACGTTTTCTTATAATCACTCAGCAACGTTGAGGGCCATACAGTGCTATCTGGACCACACCTCCAACCAAGCAGAGCGTTATGATCTTGTGTGCCTCTCCTAATGTTCTCCAATAGCCACTCGTAGATTTTGCGATGGTAGTTATTTTGACGTGGATTAAAATCTATTTTAACGTGCGCCTCCTGGCAAACATCAATCAATATTTGCAGCGCATTGAAGTTGGCATACTCCGCAGCTGTACATATGGCTTCGTTAATAACTTGCGAACTATCCTTATAAATACTACTAATTACATTATCTACACTGTTTCCTCTTAAATTTACTATAAACATTTCAAAATGCATTGATACACTAGGAGTATGAACATCAGCAAAACGATCACCGTTTACTCGTGAATAATGATTCATTAGATAGTCAAGTTCGATCTTTTTGTGAAATAGTAATTTAACCATTTCTTTACACACATTTTTCGCTATAGCACACCATCTAAAACACTCATCTGGAATAACAATATTCTGTAAAATATTGTTAATGAGAAAGTAGGTGTCGATAGAAAAGGATGATGTGTTTAAAACGACACTCTTCAAATGTGCAAAGTATATTGAGCTTGACGCAAAAAGGATTTCTTGTTCCAATCCTCGATCGCCGCCACCAGTGCTTGCCATCTTTATAGGGTAAAAACACACACCTACAAAAAGGAAAGGATAGACACCAAAATTGATTAAATAAGAGGTTGTGGAACACACTGTTAAGTAGAAAAGTTATAGCCCCAAGGGAGGGTGTTAATACAATCTAAACTAATTTGTCGTTTATCATCATACGGACTTAAAACCACCTTATTCTGTTTGATCGTGAATACTAAATGTTTTCGGGATTTTATTAAATATTGAGGCCGTGTTACTACCGCATTGTTAAATATGCTGTTTTTATAGTCCTCCAAAGTTATTTCCCGGATACTGGCATAAGTTGAACCTTTGGACCTCTTGAATACCTTACCGTCCACGAGATAAGAGTACATTTTCGCTCTAAGCCCTACAAACTCTAGCATTATTTTTCCATTGTTCTCGTCCTTCATCAGCCCGGGGACTTTTTTATTAACCAGGGGTATGCCAAAAACGTTATTATGATTATAATTCGACGTATCAAACTTATCGATGTTTTCTCTTATGGATTCGTAAATGTCTGGAACTGAAAATGAGTAGATCAAACTATCGGTGTCGGTATATAATAGTTTTGCGCGATCCTTGAACTCTTTTAAAACGAAATTGTAATGAAAATCATAAAGAATAGTTTTTGATACATCTAATACGGTTAAGCCTGCATAAATGGGTTTGTTGAGCAGTACTTCCAAACGATTCATTTCTATGATTGCTAGATCTTCATTGTCATCGAAAAGCATACAGCTTTTAAAGTTTGGTTTGGATATATAAGCACCGGCGCCGTACCTACCGCCCCACTTGTTTACCAAATGCACATCTTTATATTTCCTTACGTTCTCCATCAATTTACCAAATACACAATTTACCATTAGTTTATAAAAATTGATATCGAATTCATTCGTAGATTCTTGTCGCTTTTGCGTATTTAAATCGATATACTTTTTTAACCAAGGCGATTGTCGAAATCTTAATACGCGATTAATTTTATCGAGTCGTAATCCGTGCTTTATGTACTGCTTTAAATTTCTGTAATGTAAAACGTAGTTCTGTTTTGAATACAATGTCAGAAGTAATTTCTTAAATTTACCATTGGGGGGAGTTCGGTGTTCGGGCGCAAGTGGAAGATCTTTATGAAAGGAGTGGATATTCGTGGGATAATTTAGATCACAATCTAAAATGTAGCCGATTTCTGCGTTATCGGGGTGGTTCAATATATCTAACGTTTCAAATGAATCCTCATCTACAAAGGAAAACTCTCCGTACGGCAAAAATTCGCACATTGTGGCGCCATATAGAGAATTTACATCAAAATACATTAAGTAGGTCGATTCAAGTTCGGGGCGGTAACCTTCCTTCATATACTTATTATTAGCCTTCGCGTATCTCGTAGAACATTGCGTTATACCACCGCGAATTCCTCTTTCGATGAACATTACTTGATCTATGTCAGTTAAAAGCTCTAATTGAACGTCGGTAATTTTCAACATCGCGTCGAATGCAAGACCAGGGGCGCTAAAGTAGTGAAGAGGGTCCAATTTATAAGTCTGTAGACATGTATTGCGAAAATTTTCAAAAATATCCGCCAAAAGCAACACGTCAGTTTTCAAATACAAATCTGAAAATTGTCCGAGAGTCTCTATGGAAAACGAGTTCCATATATTTAAAGCATGAGTGTAATCATCTTCGCTAATTTCTTCACCGCGCAATGAACTGAAGAAGTTATTTTTAGGAGGTAAACAGCGCTCATTTAACTTTTCAAAGCAATCGACGTATTCATATGGGAATACACCTTTCCGTGTAAGTAACTCGAATTCGGCTTCACCGCCGACATACTCCGAGCGCGTTATATTTTTCTTGTCCTTACTTAAATAGGACGCAAGCTTATCAATGCTACTACTCATAAAGCGAAAGGAATCTATAAATCTAAAAATAATCTTCGTATCTTGCACGTGTTTCGAAAAGGAGATATACTTCTCTTTGTTTAAAGGTAAAACTGTTATTTGGCCAGGTATAGCGGTTGCAAGTTCGCGGATAATGAAATGGGCATCGTACCCACTGAGATTATGAAAGACCACAGGGATCGCGTGACTGTTTTGGTAGTTTACATTACAGGACTGGTGCGAAGCGGAGCGATACCGCGAAGTGAAATGGCAATGATCCCTACAACGAATTTCATTTTCCAAAAAAGGTTTCTCGCAAATATGACAATGGGTGGCGTTTTTGAAATCTTCCTCTTGAGCTTCACTCAATGTTTCCATCGGTAGGGGATTGTTAATAATTGCATTAGCCCAGAGCGCGATGTTGTGTAGATTGTTTATAAACCACGATACACAATCCGCGCCTCTGTATAACGAGAATCGCGATAATGAATTGTCATATGCACATTTGAGATAAAAAGCTATGCTGTAAGGTACGTGCTTTTGAAATAGTTTTGTGTTTTCCCCACTACCGCAAACGGTATCACAATTCTCCAGAAGGCATTCAATATCTGCGTAAATCGCGAACGGAACTTTTTCCTTATTAGAATAATGAGAGAATTTCAAAATTTTCTCCGATTCGGAAGGTACTCTTACCGCACATTTATTTATGTCATGACAACGAACCGTGTGCTTTTCCAGTAGGCGATTCGATGAAAAATGATTTAAACAAATATTACACAAAAACTTTGCGTGTCCCCTATTGGATAATTGTGACGATAATAAACGGGATAAATTTTTAATCCACGCAAAGTGAAAGTAATTAGTATTTTTTGGGCAAATACGATTTTTTGGAGCCTTATTGTTATTAGAAGATAATACCAATAAATTGATTGCGTTTGCCCGCGCTTCACGATTTTCACTCAACAAGAAAGGAAGGACTTTTCTCTTTTCTAAGCAATACAAATTAATGGCAAGATTATTCAATCTTTCGAATTTTTTTATATCGTTTAGTTGAATGGGAAACGTAATGGGACCACTATTCAAAACGGTATCGAAATGAGGATAACTAGAAGGTCTATCGGGATTACGTTGCGCTGGATAAAGAGCAGAGACTATTGACCACAAAAAGCAATACTTGTCGTTATTTTTAACATTAATAATGGCTTTCTTACGCGCTATAAAGGGAGGAAGTCTTACGTACGTGCTAAAGCTTCCCACTCGAATGGGAACGTATTTATTTACGTTTATTTTTAAATATAAAACCTCAATTAAACTCCAGTTTGATAACTCTTCCTGAAACAAATCTAACTTTGATCTCAATCTGTCAATGACCTGAGTCTGATACCACTCTTTTAGATTACTACCTGCATCGAGAACGTTATTTCTTGTGGCAAACGTTTTTAGATCCACATTAAGATTTTGAGGATGTAAAAAATCACAGGCCAGCACTACGTTTACCTTAAGCATAGATTTTCTTAGCATCGGTTTAATTTTTCGGGCAAGCTTGTCAAATGCCTTATCCAAGAAAATAAAAGGATCTTTGTAGACCGTATTCACAATAATACCAGTAAGCATTCTACCTTGAAAGCAAGAATTTAAAGTCTGCCAAATTAGAGGGTGTGAAGAGGGGGCGGCGGCAGGTATTCCACAACCTCTTTTAAGCGAATTATCTTTTAATTGTTGCCGTAATTTGGCCAAATAAAATTTCAACGTTCCAAGATTAGATTCTAATCTAATAGGATTTTCAACGTGACTATTCAAATGGATGTTATTATTAATAGCATTTTGTAACAAAGAAATATTTTCCCTTATTATCCTTATATGCCTCAAAATTTCGGGCTTATGTTTTAATAATGCAATAGCTTTTCGTGTTAGCGTAACTATTTCACTACTAAGATTCGCAACGGACGTCGGTTCCATTTAAAAAAAAATTTTTTTTTTTTATTTTTTTTTTTTTACTTACTGTTGGAGTTTAAAAAGGTTTGTTATAATAGCAGGAATCCTCGTTCGCTGCCACCAGGTGCTTGCCGTCTTCACTGAAATTGTATATCTAAAAATCTCTTTCTCTCTAGAAATATATGCAAACAGTAGTAGTATCAGTGTTATCCTTGAACATTCACAGACACCTCGCACACAATCGACACTTTTTGTGCTGATGAGGTGTTGCACTCGCACCACTATACTCACCGCGGGGGGTTTGAAGATGCAAATAATCTCTACACTTGTCACCTTATATAGGCTAGGTGTTCAGGGTCAAATACGCGCAGCTGCACCTTAAACAAAGCGGGGAAGTTCATCCCGGAATCATACGATCTATCGTTCTCACTCATTAACTCAACCTCTCTCCAGTTTTCCGCAAACGATTACAACAATTTTACAATATATACTGAAAATTTTTCCCCACTAATTATCAGTTAGCATCGAGCTCGGTATAACGTCATGTCTTCTTCACTTACAAGAAAGATGAAAAAGCCGAAAATCAACAAAGTGAATATTCTTTCGTCAATGTTAATTAAACCGCAAGCCTGCACCACCAATAAGGCGGAAAAAAAAACAACCAAGCCATCAACTTCATTGGTGCAACAACCGCCAACCAACATCAATAACAACAACTGGCAAAGTTGCGCATTAACTCAAATGGAACCATTGGATGAAGTAATTACAATACATTCGGATAATTCGACAATCACGTAAGTAATATTTATGATTTTTTTAAATTATTTTCTCCCCTCTATTTCGTTATGTTAAAAAGTAATTGCTTTTACAGCACGGGTCATTTGGGCGAGAATTTGGAACTGGACCTACTGTTAGCGCAGCTGGAAGGGGACCCCGCAACAAATTATTTATTCGAGCCAGCTCGGTAAGTAAAAAATGTTGTTTTTCTCTTCTACTCGCTAATAATAAAATTCTCTAATTTCAGAATAATACCGACACCGCAATTAACGGAACCCCAGCGGTCGCCGACACCACCACCACCACAGCTGCCGCTAACAACACGGGTACCGCCGCCACCACCAAAGCTGTCGCTACCACCATCAATTTTGCTGTCTCCTCCTCCGCCACCTCCTCCTCCGGCGGAACCTGTTGTGCCATCGGGCCAAAAACGACCGTAAGTTTATATCATAATACTTATAGAACTCCTTCGTAATAGATTATTTTTTATTTATTGCAGTCGCTGTCATGACAACGCATCGCGCTCCCCTAGCGACAAGAAAAAAAAGGGCAAGAATTTGGCAGACGTCGTCGTAATGATCGAATCCGACCTGGAGGAGGGGTACTTCCCGGAAACACCGACGCAGCAAGATGGGTCGCTGCATCCTAAAACACCGAGGGAACTAGCCCTTACTACATACGGCACATTAAAAAATATGGAGCCGGTGTACCGGGCTAAGCTCTTGGATGCAAGGAACAAGACGACCGAACTACAACGGCAGCTGGAAACGGCGAAGAAGGAAGAGCGGCGGCTGGAGAAAGAAGTCGCCTATATAGAGGACTTCCTCAAATTTGTTAAACCTAAAAAATAAGTTTATAGTTTGTAGTTTTGTACATATTTTTATACTTTACTTTACTTATTCAATAAAAGGCAAATAGTCAACAACATAGAGTCTTTTTTTATCGAGCAAAACTGATTGACGCTCGGACCAACACCACCGAAAAAGAAATGCACGAATGCACGCCTTTTCAAAAGCTATACCTATTACAGTAGAGCATACCAAGCTGCATATAAATAAGGAAGGAAGGTTAACTGAAACTGTGTGTGAGAAAAAACATAAGCATTTCCAATGCTAAAACCGAACGCAGTTACCAAGTCTAATGAAAATCAATCCATCATCCATCTTACAGTAATGCGTACTAAATTGCATATAAGGAACATGGGAGAGGTGCTCGTATGAACATTTTTTCGGTCCTTAAGCAACAAAACACAATACGATCAAAGTGAAGTTTTTTTATTTCTTTTTTACGATAGGCCAACAATAATACAAATTAAGTACACATACACATATACGAGCATTTGCGTGAGCGAGAAAATTTCATTGCAGATTTTTCTTTGTATGCAGTCGTACTCTACTTAATTTGCGCTGCACTTCAAACACCTCCAGCTCCCACTTGAATTTTTTAATTCTCCTTAACAAATCGTCTATACGTATTTTTCTGCGATGGCAGTCTTCGGGATCTTCTGCAATCATCATTACTTTTGTCATTTTTTCTGTGATGTCAGTATAGAAATGACTTGTACAACGTTCACTCGTGTCCTTTATACTTGACTTTAGTGAAGAAATGAACCCACAAATTAGCAAAACTCAGAACCATGTTGCCATGACCCCCGAAATCGATAATCAATCAATAACACAGAAAGAGCATGGGGTGAATAACCTTTAGCGATTAGTAACCGAAATCGATAAACAATCAACATGAACAATACCCATGAGACGAATCCACTATATGAGAATAGCAAAGTTTCAAACCTAGTTACTTTTCTAACCTCGACCCCTTGACGTTAGCACTGGCGCAAACCTCGCCAGCAGAGTTACAAACCTAGTTACTTTTCTAGTGACTTTCTCGCGTCTAATGACTTTTTGATTTAGAATCGGCCCCTATATCACTAGCAGAGTTTCAAACCTCTCTAGTGACGCAGAGTTTCAAACCTTGTTACTTTTCTAGTGACTGTTAGCAGAGTTTCAAACCTCTCGTGACCTTCTAGTGACTTTGAGCAGAGTTTCAAACCTAGTTACTTTTCTAGTGACTTTTTTCACATCTAGTGACTTTTCTAGTGACTTTTTGAGTTAGAATCGGCCTTATAACACTACTTCTATCTTCTAGGAGATTCAGGTAATTTGAAAGAAAAAGAGCATTATTAAAATGTTGGTCTGCAGGATACCCACTTCGTCCTTGGTTATTAACACCATTGAGGGATACTATTCCCGGCACTCCCCAAGACAGGTTTAATAATCGTTTAAAGAGTATTAGAAGTATTATAGAGA